ACACACATACACACACATACACACATACACACACATACATGCACACATATATGTACATACAATCAATTGAACATTTTTAAACGTAATCAGTTTAGAATTCAAAATTACAGATCCAACGTAGGTAAGTGAAGAAATATTTGATAATTTTTTAGTATACATTTTACTTCATTATTGTTTTTTGTACGAATTACCGAAAATATTTTTTATATTACCAAAAAAAAGTGTTTGAAAATTAAATTTTTTTTAAAAGTATTATATACCGTTTTTTAGGTAACAATAGAAAGCGCATATTTCTGATTGTTCTCATTCATAATGTTAAAAGACAAAAATTTTGTTGCAGCAATGAATCATGCTAAAAAAAAATTTTTTTTTTCAAAATATTTGAATTTTTTCAATTGTCTTCAAAGCCAACTAAGCGATTTATATGATGATTTCTTTTTGCAATCAAATTTTTTGTTTTATATAAAATTTGAATCTTTGCTTTTTTATCATTTTTAGTTTAGCTCACAACTCCCATTCAAATTTCATATTTGCATTGCATTAGTTATTTCTAAAAAAAGCTAAACCAAAAATGACAAAAAGCGAAAATTTCTAAAAAAATTTCGCTTAGCCAAATGACCATAATTGATGTCCATTATTTATTATTCCATTTCATTTACAAATACTATTCAGTATACTTCGCTATTGTAAATGCATAATTAACAATAGCAGCATCAGCATTCATTGATATGATTTGTGATGTGATTATGCATCACTTATCACTCTGTCCTTCCTTTCTTTATCACTATCATATTATATCATTCCTCCTTCAGTGACATCATTATCGCTTTTCCCTCCAGTACTATCAAACATTTTCCTGTTTATCTCTCTCTTTTTTTTGATGTTCATTCGATTCATAAAAAATCTTCCAGGTTGCATATTTCTTTCAAATTTTTCCATTTTAATAATTTTTTCAATTACTATTATTCTTTTAATTTAAAAAAAACTTGTTTACTCTCTCTTAATCTTGCAGAAATTTAAATTTTTTAGAAATTTGACATATTCAATGCAATATTTATGTTTGAATCTACAATTAAAGCAATGAATTAAACAGTGAATGGGAAAAGAACAAGTTGTCTATCAAATTTTCAAATTTAAATAATTTAAAAAAAATAAAGAATATCAGTTATGCATTCCATACATTTCATGAATTTCATTGCATTTGTTTTGCTCGACATTTTGGAATAAAATTAAATGGAAAAAGAAACGAAATTGATTGCATTTATATTATTGCAAAATTCGTTCAGTTTTAAAAATGTCTTTTTTATCAAACCAATTCTTTCTTTTAGCTCACATTATTTTCCAATGAAAAGAGCATTTTAATTCTTTCAAATAGCAAAATTCTTTTTTAGTGGAAAGTAAATTTTCTGTCATATTAAATAAAAAAAAGCAAAAAAAAAATTTGAAAAGCCATTTGGTAAACCATAACAACGCACTGAATTATTTTCTTTTTTTTTTTGCTATTTCCCATCGAATTTGAAGTAATTTTTTTTTCATTTAAGCTAATTTTTAAAACTTTATGAATTTCACATCGCAATTATTATTTTCATTATTATTTCTTTCCTTTTTTTTTTATGAATTCATTACTTTTTTTATTACATTAGGAAATTTTTCTCAAGTAGAAATGTTAAATTTCCGCTTAAGTTTTATAAAAAATTTTTTCTTAAACTTTTTATAATAATTTTAAAATTTAGAACTTTTTTTTGGGTAAAATTTGAAAAATTTATGCAAAAATAAAATAGAAAATTAATAACATAAAAAATGATCACATTTTTGATTAATTGAAGTTTTTTTGGAGTCAAAAAAAAGAGGAATCAGACGTGATTAATTTAGTAATGAAAAATTTTAGAAATTTATATATTATTATTGCTGAATATTTCGGTGAAATAAAAACTTCGATTTATTTTGCAGAATTTTTTCGTCGTTTTACATCATCAACGGATAATGCTAATAGTACAGTTAGCTTAACTGGTAGTAAAACTAGCCAATATGGATACATTGGAAAAGGTTGTTCACAAGGATCAATGAATGGTAGCATATATGATAATGTGCCTCATGGAATAAAGCATCCATCATTTTTAGGTAATACAAATACAACTGCGATCATTGCACTTTCCCCTCCTATCAATAACGTATCATTTGAATTACTCAGAAAAAATAGCAACAGTTTCTTTTGTTGTTTAAATTTAAATTAAATTTTTCATTAAATTGTTATTTGAAAATTTGAAGTGAAATTATTTTTGCTTAAAGCAAAATGTTTGTGAAAATTTTTTTTTCTTCTATTTTTGTTCATTTTAATTTTTTTTCATCAAATTATTAAATTAATTAAATTAAACAAGGGAATTGGCATTTTTTTTTTGAATTTTTTTTACCATTTTATGACTTAGTTTGATGAAATTGGCACATCTATTTTGTTCATTTTAATTTTATCAAATTAAACAAAATTGGCATTTTTTTTGAATTTTATCATTTTATGATTTAGTTTGATGAAATTGATTTTTTGGATTCAAAATAAAAATTGTATTTTATTTAATTCTGTTTTTTCTTAAAAAAGATATTAATTCTTTTCCAGGGTTTTGTTTGTTAATTGTAACCGTAGATTGTTTTTGAAATTTTTTATTTACTAAATTTTAGCATTTTTTCCCTTATTTTTTTAATCCTAACTTGGCTTAGACTTATAAATTTGCCAGATTTAAAATATAAACTGTTCATTTATTCTAGTGAAATTGCAAAATTTAATCTTTTGTTCTTTTTGGAAGCATAAAATTGATTAATTAATTTTAAAAGTAGATTCAACATCAGTGTCGAGCAAATTGAATCATGATGCTATATTATCGCATAGTGCAAAAGTTATGGATAATTCATCGTCACCCAATGATAGCGCTATATCTCAGCGTGATATTAGTGTTAGCTCTGGTTTAGCTGATAGCGAGAGTTCTCCGATCACTCCCGGTGCTCCAACTTCCATCCGATTACATCATAATCGATATCGGAAACAGCAATCAAACACTGATAATAGATCGCAAATAACTCAGGTAATAAATAACTAACGATAATTCAGGTAGCATTTAAAATTAGTAGCTATGAAAGCACCTATTAATAATTTATTATATCAAATTAATAAAATTGATATTTTTTATAGATAAAGATAGATTCATCATTTAATGATACGAATAGAAATGGTAAAGAAATTCGTTCACCGTTACCATCTTCACCTCGTTTGGATACGGAAAAGCGAACTTTATCGATGGTATTAGCATCTGATTTATTTACATTCAGTACTGGACATGTTCCGGAACGAGTGGAAAGCTGTGAAGAATTAGACGTTGATTTCACTGAACAGGTTTTTGTTGATGAAAATACTTTCAAATGATTATTGAAATTGTACTGAAAGAATAAAACGAATGCTATTAATTAAATACAATTAATGTGCTCATATCTTCATTTACAATATTATTTTTATTTCATAAAAATTGAGCTTTTTAAAATTCAATTCACTTTACAGACAAGCGATGGGTTATATGCACAGAAAAAGCAAAAAGCTGGTAAGTATTTCAGACTTAAATTTTTATTAAAAATTTCTATTAAATTTATGCTTATTTTATGCTCGATTTCGTAGTTCTTTTTTTAAAATAATAAACTTGACATTATTTTACTAACAACAATTTTTAAAATAATAAACTTGACTTTTGGATTTTACTAACAAGAAATGAATTACTCAATTTTTTATCGCTTCTCAAATTTTTAATGAAATGGAAGTTTTTAAAATTCCATTGTAACTTATTTTCAAATTTGCCAAATATCGAGAAAGGGTAAAATTAAGAGAAAAAACTTGAAAAAAAATATATATATATGGGTTAATCCTTGATCTCTCGTATAGTATTGGCATTGCGAAAACTCTGTAAACTTTTAATTAAATTTTTTTTCATTTATCATTATTACTGGAGCAATCTTTGTGCCCTTTCTCTCCCTGTTTCTCTCTTTTTCCATCTCTTTCTGCATTTTCCGGTTTTTTTTTTAATTCTAGCAAATTTTTCTTATTTGGAGAAAATATTCTTTCAAATTTTATTTCCTACTAATTAGTTGTAGTTTTTTTACATATATTTTTAACATTGTACCACTGCTTCTATTTTGTTTTGAAATTAGCCGAAATTAAAGATTTTGCTCTTTTTTAAAAATATTTTTACACTCTACTACTGCTTCTATTTTGATTTGAAATTAGCTTAAATTAAGAATTTTGAAAAATGAACAAATCTATTTCAACTATTTAAAATCCATAAAATATGACTGCTTAGAAAGTTCTACGTGAAATATTAAGCATTTCCATTTCATCGTAAATGTGCAAAACGACTGATTTCATTTTCCATCGATCCCATCGATGTAAGATAAAAATTTTTTTCCACAAAATATTTGGAAAGCACTAATGGAACAGTAAATAAAAGTTTAATTGGAAGCAGATGTATATTTCAGTTATCTTCTCTCTCTCGCTTTCTCCCTTTGTCCTTCATTTTTTTTTGTCCCTCTCTAAGTATTTGTTAATTTTTATTGAATCGGCGAATTCTTACAGCCAAGACACATTTGCTTCTTGTAAACGTTATCTTCAAAAACAGCTGTGGTAGCGTTAACTTATTGCTTATTACTTTAAAATTCATTCTTTGCACGAGTAAAGTTGTCATAATTTTCATTCTAAAGTTTTAGAAATTTCAAGGCATGTCTTCTAATGTAATTGAGTGAACAAAGTTAATTAAATAGGATGCATTTTTGTTTGAAGTTAATTTTTTATTTTATAAAATTTTGCAATTTTATATTGCATTTATTAATTTCCAAATTTCACCATTTATTAATTTCCAAATTTCATGGAAATATGATTTAAAGGGTGAGGGAAATAAGAGATCAAAAAATTAAATTATTTCATAAATTTAGAGTAGTATTTGAACGTGTTATACGTCGTACATGATTAAATACTCTTCATCCCTTCCGCTTTTCATCACACATTCATCTTATCCTGTTTATTTATTTCATTTTATTTCTCCAATCATTTGAAATATATCTTTTTTTTCTCAAGCAAAAATTCCAATCTTCAAAATGAGTATTTGAAATGTTTTAAAAATTTTGGATCCATACATTATGTTTTCTGTTAAATTTAAATTTCCTGAATAATAGAATTTAAAAATGAAACGATAAAATCTGATAAAAACTGAGATTTTTTCGCCACATTTTTACTGCTTCATGCTAAAAAAAAATTTTTTTTTTGATTTCTTACTTTAAAAACTTTCCTCCTTTAGCAGGAATTTCATCATTTAATTTTTTGAAATTCCATTTATTTAAGAAATTTAAATTTTATCCAAAAATATAAGTTTGTTTATAATGGAATAAAAATGAAAAAAAAAATGACTATAACTGACTTCAGTTTCTTACGTCATTTATTTCTAAGCATTTTTTTTTTTTTGTGAAAAAAATGGTAAATAAAATATGAAAGATTTATGATGAGAATTTTCAACCATCAACTGCTACATTACTGAATTGAAAAAAATGATTCACTATACAAACATTTAAAATTTTAGTGTTTTTTTATTTTTTCAATAAATATGATTGCATTTAACAGATACAGTTTCCCATACGTTAAGCATCATTCAAATTTTTAAGTAAAATTTGAAAAATTAAAATATACCGAAAATTTCTGTCGTCGAGAAATCTATTAACTAAGTTCCGTACAATTTTTTCTGAAAATTAATATTCCTAAATTTTGTAATTTTTTAATAAAT